ATAATTTCAAGAAGCATAAGCGGTAATTTTTAAAGCATTTAATAACTTGTGGTTAAAGTGCAAGTGACAATTTTGGTCTTTTATAATAATTTCTTATCATTTTTGAAGGTTCTTGAATATAATTAATACTTCATATTGGCCCAAAAAAAGAGAGTCTTTAAATGTTATTTTATTTTTCAGATTTAATTTTATATGTCTTCTGTAATGATATATTGACTTAATAAAAGTCTTAGATTTCCACTAACATCCATAATTCCTAGTTCTAAATTAATGAAGCATCAGTATCATCCTTTTTGGTCTTTAAGTGCAAAACAATAATCATTTTCATCACTTCCACCCTCGTAGATGCCTAAATCATGTGGGAGCTAGCAATATGTGATATACATTTTTAATTTGTCAATATTCACGTACACATACATTTTTTTAAATAAATTTTCTTGCGTCACAATCATTTTGTATTCCATTCTATCGATTAAGTTAGATTCAACTATTATACACTCTTGGCTCTCAAGCGGAAATTACTCTTCCAAATTAAATTTTTGTTTTTTCTATTTTTAATTTACTATGCTTCCCATCTAAGCAAAGCATCCTCAGTTAATCACCAAAGAAAATAATTTTTAATATTATTAACAAGTCAAATTCAAATATTGTCAAGTTTAATATATTTAGGAATTCATCAAAGAACCTAGTTAACATGATATATACAAGTGAATATACTAATATTCTGTACAAAACTGAAATGTTTCCATCACTATTAATCAGTACAACATCAATATAAAACTACGTCATCTACCTTTAATTAATCTTTAACTTTTTATTGAAAGAATATATTTTTAAATTTACAGAGATTATAATTTTTTAGATGATGTATTATTTTTAAATAAATTGAATAATTAATAATAGTCAGAATGATATAATTTTCCAATTATTCGAGTATCAGAATTTATTGTCACCAAAAAGTGATGATTAGAAAAACATTTGAATTCATTACAAATTATTAAGGTCAATCACTTCTTTTGCAAATAACATAATCTAATTAAGGTCAATAACTTCTTTTGCAAATAACATAATCTAATTAAGGTCAATCACTTCTTTTGCAAATAACATAATCTAATTTTACCTTTTCAGGTGTGTATACATATATCTGTAGAGCTTAGAAGGAAGTCTCCCCCACAACCCAACAATCATATAAACCCTGGCAGCTCATACTATCACCATGGTATGAAAATTCAATTCTGGTCAGTTGTTTAGATCGGCGAACTTGTCTTATGGCTGGTTTGGTCAAGAGTTTTGGACGGGTTAATTGAATTGCATTTTATTTTTTCTCTTCTCACTCAGCCTAGACTCCATTAATATTACTCTTTTCAATATTATATATGAATATTCTATTTTAATGATGATTATGTTACTCTGGTTCAATTATGATTATACCCTTGACCCCTTCAACCGTGTCCTGATCAGTTTAATCACCAATATGTGTTTAATGTGACTTTTTTTTTTTTATACATTGAGTTAAAATAAATCTAACTTAAATGACATTAAGTACCTTTGACTTGATCTAACTAGTCTTTGATTAAAAAATATTTTTTTACACCAAATTTAAACAACGAAAAGGGAAAGAATTATAAAATTAAGAATATTTATAAGAAGTGGAGATGACAACGTCCACTTTAATAAGCGTGATCCCATGTTTGCAAAACTTTAAGGAATTATGGTGGATTATCATAGAGAAGGCACTCTCAGTTGCCCATTATTCAAGCCAATGTATGTGTATATACCTTTATGGGGTATAACTCACACTAAGCAATCATTACTTGGATTATTTTTGCCACATCAAAATCTATGTACTTTATTTCACTCTTATAAGTTTAATAATTATAAAAGTCAACATTAGTCTCCTAAGTTTAATAATAAAAGTCTGATATTATATTAATTTCAAATTATAATAAAATGCTCCTTCTCATCTTATATAAAAGATACAGATCTTAGGAGTGATATTATCCTATTTAATATTTATGAGATATATTTAAAGGATGTTTGAAATTCTCACTAATTTTTTCCATTTTTTCTATTAATTATTTTATATGTTATGTCAGGCTTTGCATTTCTGTTTTGGCAATTAACAACTATATATTAGTGTTTTAATTTGCATTAACTATTAATTCAAATTGAAGTGTTGCATGCCTCAAATGGAGCAAGCTCTTTCCGCGTTTTTTTTTTTTTGCCACTTACAAAATTTGAACTCCCAACCTCATTTAATAATTGTTGTGACTTGTGCCACTTTCATTTGACATAATAACTCATATGAGGAATTATATTTTTCCTAATCTCAAATATAACTCATTTCTTAAAGTCCTAACAAGAGTTCAAAATAGAAGTCATCTCTAATAATTAAATGCTCAATTTTCGCAAATACCTTGATTCAAAATCTTAAATTGGTCGGCCAAAAAAAAAATCTTAAAATTGAGAGTCAATAAATAATTTGGAGCAGTTAAATTTAGAATATGTTTATTTTGTGCTCCATTGCGAAGAAAAAATAGGAAGGAAAGAAAATGAGAAAAAATAGTGAAAGTTATTTTCTCTCCTTATATTTGGCCAAGTTGTTGAAAACAATGGCACGAGAAATGCCATTAATTTCATATGGACAATAATAACTTTGTTATTTTAAGAAATATATATAATAATTATTGTTATTCTAGCGTACTATTAATAAATTATTCATCATATCTTACTAAATGGAATTAAAATATAATTTTAAATTTAACCTTAATTTATATATTTTATCCAACATTGTCAATAGTGATTTACATTTGAGACCCAACATCATATAGTTACAGGTAGTATACATTATGGCTTATGAACTATGGTAATTATTTTGTCCTGTAATTATATTTCTCTTGATGAGACCCTTTAAAAGTAACCTCTCCTTCAAATTATATTGTGTCAATCATATTGTTATACGGCGACAACTACATATATGATAGATGTAATGTTACATCGTACTTAAATCCAGTTAATTAATTAATTACCAAATAAAAAAATTCAGGCATTAATAATTTTTAAGAGGAATAGTAATTTTAGTTTCTTCAAAAGTCAACATTCTTGAGGCTACTCATTTGATATTTGAATAAATGATGTGGAAGGTAGAGGGAGAAAAAAAAAGAAGATAAGATTGGAGGATGCAAAATGGGGGAAGTAAATGTGAATGAAAAATGATTGGAGGAAGAGAGGGATAGTTTGAGAACAGCTGGATCATGAGAAGCTTCAACAAAACAAAGTAGAGCAAAGTAAGTGGATAATAAAATAATGAACGGAAAGTTGAATATTTGTGAGGAATTAAGTGTCATCAACTTTTTGAAACAAGTGAAAAAATATGTGTACAATCTTCACAATTAAATAAAATCTTTCACCAAAGTTTTAATTTTCTTTTTTCTTATTTTTATTTTGCGAACAAATCATCACTAAAGTTGGATACAATGAGATCTCCGCGTTTGCAGTATGACTTGGTCTTTCTTTCACCATCTTCATCTTCTTTCATCCGTCGCTTTCTTAGTCAACTCAGGCATTGAGTTTTTGGGACGACATTTTATTTTTGTGCGTCACTATAGGTCTTTCGCGTACAAACTACAAAAAGGTATATAACAATATAATGGCAACTCAATTACTATTCATCACTTTACCATCCTCGCACTAAAAAAAAAAAGTGATTTTCATCTATTCTGGAGGCCCTTTTTTGTTTGTTTAGGGGGGGACGTGGACAAAGAAGACATAGATAGAAGTTAGATACGTCTCTATTGAAAACAGACAAATATAGGACATCATATTCGTCTATTCAAGCTGTCACATATTTGTCTGTTCTCCAACAGACGAATATAATGGCCACATATTCGTTTGTTGATGAACAGACAAATATGTGGCCATCATATTCGTCTGTTCTCAGCTTGAACAAATGAATATGATGTCCTATATTCGTCTGTTCAAGCTGAACAAATGAATATGCTAAGCAAAAAAAAAATGATTTCTGCATGCGAAATTGCCCGTTTTCTTTATAAAAAACCTTGAAAGATGGAACTAAAATAGAGTACAAGTGGAATTCAACCAAAATAACAATAATTTAGTAGAATCAGATCCATTCCATACAAAAAGAATCCACAATTCTAATAACATTCTAACCATATGTTTTAACTATCAAAATAACCCTACACTGCATACATGATACAAGAAACTTTAGTACCATCTAACCTTTTTAATCTCATGTATCATTTTGAGAATAAAACTCTTGAAGGAATTGTCCTGCCAAATGATCTCGAATAGCATCAATCTTTTCATCAGTGTAGCAGTTGTCATCATCAAAAATCTGTAAGTAATAAGAAGATTGAATTCATCAACATTCTGAATTAAAGAAAAATGACAATTCAATAGAAAAAAGCAAATAATCATAATTAAACTAATTATTACCATCTCAAAATTTTTAATACATTGGGACTCAATAATTTCATACATGAAACAGATAATATAATATATGTACTTTGCATTTCCTGGTTGTAGATGACACTGTAAAATCAAAGTGATTAGGAAAGATGAATATGTATATATATAGTTGATGACATTAAAGAACTGAAAATGAAAAATACTTACTTTTGGTTTGTGCCAAACAGTCTTGTCATTTTTCCCCTCGTGCTTCCCATCTCTATATAATATGTCTTGAAAGACCAATGATGAAACAGAAATGACCAGACATTAGAACAACTTAATGAAGTAGGAAAGCTAAATATATGACGACAAAACTTATGTGGTGAAGACACATTTCATTTCGCCATTTGGGAGATGGCCCAATGAATCAAACCAGTAAATGACATTATCTTTGGGACAAGGAATGCACAATGACCAATGTCCACTGAAATATATATATAAAGGAAACTAGTAAAGATTTATTGAAAATTAAATATATAAGTAGACAAATATAGATATAAGCTACTTACCTTTTAATGATTGGAGCAAAATAACAAGGGAAGTCAGTGTCTGCAATGGCATTATCCATTTATCTCATTCACCTATCAATAGTATTCTTCAAAGGTTCTAAAGCGGCTGGACACATGAATCTATACAAATGTCCCTTTCATGTAGAAGCGCACAAGTTGTGAAAGTATCTATCATGATCAATTGGATATGAAACAAAAATTAGTTCATACATATAAGTTGAAAATGAGCAATTAGAAAATATAAATCATAAAATAGAATCACATTATTGCCAGTTGAATCCATGCAATGTGTAGCTGATCCAGGGATAGAAAGTCCTTGAGATCTGGTCTAATCCAAAATGAAAATGATACGTCCTTTGCTCCCCCACAATCCCAATAGGCGTTTGTATATTGACTTTGTTAACTGATTCGTAAATGTCATACAGTTGTGCCAAATAGAAAAATTTAGTAGCATCTTCAACATCCTAATAGAAAGATAGAATAAAGATAAGTAACATAAGTAGTATATGAAAGAGAAATTAGAAAATGCTAGTGCATTTTTTACCATGGGAGATATGACGTCAATAAGTCTTTTAGGCCATAAAATGAAATATCTTTTTGCTTGGCCTAGCTTGCCAACCTCATCACTGGGGAACGGCACGTCTGAATCTACCTCCTCCTCTCGAACAGCCATAACCATCACCTTGCTTGAGTCTGCTGGAACTTTTTGATGATGAATTTTAGACCCTTGTGTGTATTTAATGGCATTGGTAATAGCACGCATATTTGGGTCATCTAAATAGAGAACACAAGGTTCTCTATCATTTGGTGTGGGACTAGGTTCAAACAAAGCTGACGGCACTTGTGGATTGAAGCTCCCTTTTGTGCTTCCATAGGCTAGAGAATTCTGAGTACATGGTAGACATAAAAAGAATGGAATTAAATGAAAACAATGTTGGCAAAATTCAAAGCAAATTAATTAAGTTGTGATTAATTTTATACCTGAGGTGTACGTTCTTGTTGTTGAAATTGCCCAATTTGCATGCTTGAGACCAAAGATCGCATCTCCTCCTGAATCTCGGACATAAGCTCATTTTTGAAGAATTGGTAGACCTCATCACTTGTGATAATCTCTTGGCAAACTTGTTCTTGAACTTTGTCTATCAGGTCAGCACTTAGGAAACTTCTTCCTATAGAGCTTTGTGAACTGGAACCAAAGAATTGGGTTAAACCAACTATCTTTGATAAGCCTCTCACTCGACCAGGATAGTCTAACTTCCCAGTTGCAGCTGCCAGGATGTCTATCTTTCCACTTGGAGTAAAGGAACCTTGACTGCTCTGCTCCTCAAGTGCATCCTATAATGTACAAGTAATAAATGATAAGTAATTACAATTTCAAAAGAATGTGAACACTATTTTAATTGAGTTGTTTTAATTTAAGTACTTACAATTTTTCCAGTAATGTCAATAACAGTCTGATTGATATATTCACCTTTCTTCATCCTTGTATGTTTCCATGTTCTATTTGAACACAATTATTGTTGACCCACTTACACTTGAAGATAGGAATCTTGAAGTTGGTGTAACTTACGTCCTATATCTCTTCAGTTACACCATAATAGGCCATGGATACCAATTTAGGGTTTTTATCTTTGGCGCTAGAGAAATGTATCGTTTCAGCTACTACCATACCTACTGTTCTGCATAGTGCTTTTCTCATCTTGAGCTTTTGTGTAGAAGGAATACCCATTTATATCATATCCACTCCAAGTGCTGACATTAAATTGAGGCCCCCAAGCTAACCATTTTATTGTGTCAGAAACATTTGTCTCCCTTTAAATCTTTTCCTTGAACCACACAATAAATGTCTTGTTATGCTCATTAGCTATCTGTCTATCACTTTTCTTCGAATATTTTTCCTTTAAACTCTTCTTATGGTTATCTAAGTACAGTTAAACTTTCTTCATATTATTTAAAATATATAAGTGTGCTAGGAATAGTTTTTCATGGCCAATGCTCTTTACTTTGAGCCCTCGAGTTCTCTTACCTATCCCATCGTCATGTCGAGCCTGAGCCTCCACCCTAGATAGGTATCCTTCGCAAAAGTCCACAACCTCCTCAACAACATATCTTTCAACAATTGATGCCTCAGATCGATAAGGATTCTTAGAATAACATTTCAAGACTTTCATGTATCTCTCAAATAGATACATCTATCTTAGATATATAGAGCCACAGAGCCTTACCTCTCTTACTAAATGAACTATCAAATGTACCATGATATCAAAAATTACTAGAGTAAAGTACATTTCTATTTGACATAGAATAACATACTCCTCGTTTTCCAATTCATCTAATTTTTCTGTGTCAATGACTTTGCTACATATAGTATTGAAAAAAATACACAATCTAGTTATTGTGCTTCTCACATCATCTTTCATAATGCCTTGAATAGCCACTGGTAATAGTTGTTACATCAATACATGGTAATCATGAGATTTCATTCCAACTAACTTTAAATAATCTATCGACACAAGCATTTTCACATTAGAAGAATAACCTTATGGCACCTTAATGTTATGCAAACATCGGCACAAGCTGGTTTTCTCTGCTTTAGACAATGTGTGTGCCATTGGCTCCAAATAAGCCCTTTTACCACCCTCTTGTAGTTGTGGATGTAATCGTTATCTTATTCCCATTTCAGCCAAGTCTGGTTTCGTGTTGATTCTATCCTTGGTTTTTCTTGGTATGTGCAAAAGAGTACCAATAAGGCTATCACAAATGTTTTTCTCCACATGCATCACATCAAGACTGTGTCTAACATCAAGATTATACCAACATGGAAGATCAAAGAAAATGGACATTTTTTTCCAAATGTTCTTCTGATAACCTACAATCCTCTTATTCTTACCAAAGACGACATCAATTCTTTCCACCTTACGATAAACTTCCTCTCCCGTTAATGGCTTTGAAGACATTCCATGTTCTGGTGAGCCATTAAAAACCTTTTTCAATTTACGGTATGAGTGAAACTGATCAAGAAACCTCCTATGACCAAGATAAATTGTTTTGCTTTCGTGCTTCAATTGGTGATAGTGTATGTTCACTTCACATATAGGACATGCTTTATATCCCTTTACACTATATCCCGACAAGTTTCCATAGGCAAGAAAGTGATTTATCGTCGTGAAGATTATCGCATGCAGCTTAAAGTACTCTTGCTTATGTGCATCAAACACATCTACGCCTTCCTCCCACAATCTCTTCAAGTCTTTAATCAAAGATGCCAAGTAGACATCGATATTGTTTCTTGGCTGTTTTGGCCCCAAAATCATCATAGGCAACATCTTATACTTGCACTTCATACACAACTAGGGAGGTAAGTTGTAAATCACTAACAAAACTAGCCGTGCATTATGTGTGCTATTGAAAGTACTATAAGGATTGATTCCATTTGTACAAAGCATAAAATGAAGGTTTCTTGGCTCACTAGCAAATTCTGGATACATTTCATCTATTTTCTTCCATTGAGGAGAATCGGCAGGGTGCCTAAGATGTTTTTCGTCTGATATTTTCTCATCAAAATGCCATGTCAACTTTTTTTCCTCGGTTGCATCAGCAAACAAATGTTTGAATCGCGATATTATTGGAAGATACCATAGCACCTTCAAAGGTACCCTTTTAGTTGTCTCATTAACATCACCATCACTACCTATGTTATTCTTCACTTTATATCATGAAGATTGGCATTTTGGACACTTACTAAGATCGGCATACTCTTCCCTATATAATATGAAATCATTAGGACAAGCATGTATCTTTTTATAGCCCATACCCATCTGAGACAAGATTTTCTTTGTCTCATACACACTATTTGGAAGAACATTATTAGCTGGAAGCATATCACCCAACAATTGAAGTAACTTCATAAAAATTTTATCTATCCACCTATTAGTTGCTTTCAAATTGAATAATTTCAATATAATTGTCAACCGTGTATACTTAGAATACCTAGGATATAAAACTATCTCTGCATCACCTTGCAAGCTGTCATTTATATGCAATTGTGCAAAGAATCCCATTCCAACATCATGAATTATGTCACCCATTTTATCATTTAAGCCACCTACAACTTCCTCTTCTTCAACGAATGGCGTTGTTCCTCTTTCGCCATGCCATATCCATCTTGTATATCAAAGATTATCCCCTAACAAAATAAGTGATCCCTTGTACCATCAATAGTTAATCGTATCCCATTTAAATAATTAACACAAGGTTCAAAAATACTTTCCACTTTTGTCAAAAGCATTTCTTTTAGTAAATTCAATAAATTCTTATACCCCATTCTCATACTCCTTACTTGTTCTCAAAGTACTCAACAAACTATGATCCATTCTGTTAATATACAAGTAATTCTAAATAATTTAATTCAAGACCAAACTCAAAAATACTTTAATTCCATTCAGCTCAATTCCAAGAAAATTAAAGTAATTAAAAACTAATTTTAACCATTTAATCAAGCAAATTAAGCAATTTAGAAAATTTGACAACAAGGAACATAAATAAAGACTTTTTACAAGAAATAAAGGATTATCTAATATTAATTAAGTTGATATCTTATAACTTGATCTCAAACATTTTAGAACTGTACATCATTATGACTTAAATAAAAGTATAAGAAGTTCATGTTTTAAAATATATTTTTATTGGTTATTGCAATTTGACATTTTTTATAAACAAAGAAATAAAATTAATTAATTGCATAGTTAGTATTTTAACATAAACTTTTATTATGTATTAATAACATTGATAATGGTAACTCTTGCATGATTTATCTAAAGATAAACAACTTGGTGGTAATGAAATTTTGTATGACATCATGAGCAAATTTTATTCATTTTCAAAAAAATAAAACTTATTCCTACCAAATTTTGTTTTACACTAAATAAAACATGTTTATTTTTATTTAAAGTCATTAATTTATTTAATGTAACCATTATTAATTGTTTCTAACTCAAATTAAATTCATATAGCTCACATACATAGGCATTTTATCATAATTCATGGCTATAATGATTTGGAAAAAAATTCAAATCACATAAGATGGCAAAACTCAATTCCATTCTATTACTTATACATAGAGGAATTTCATCAAACATCTAAATTGCAATAAAATCACAAAACTCCTAATTCTAATGGATTCAACTGCAGCAACACAAGATAATATATACCATCAATTCTTCACCCAGAAAAGATATGTATCTACTAACCTACGAAGTGAAGAATGAAAATGAAGGAGGAGGAGGAAGCAGAACACAGCCAGCTATAGAAGTCACCCACGATGAGTTACAACACATACCCACAGCTCCCTGACAAGGAAAGGGGAGAAAATGTGAGCAAGGAAGGAAAAAGAGATGAAGAACAAATGAAAGGGGGGGCGTCCACTACCGAGAGCGAAATGGGGGGGGGGCGTCCACTACCACAAACAAGATAAAGAAAATGTGAGCAAGTGGTACGAAGCTGAAAATGGGGTGGGCATTGACCTCGGTAGCAAAACTAGAAGGAAATTTGGGGGAGGGGATCGGTGGCTCGAGAGGGGGGTTAGCGAACTAGAGATGGGGGGATTGCGGCGGGTAAATTGGAAATTTGGGGGGGGGGAGACTGATGTTAAATGGGGGGAGGTAGGACTGATGAATTTTTTTGGGTGGGGGGCAGAGGCCGAGTCTAATCAGTTTGGGGGGGTTTTGAATTTTTTTTTAAAAAAGGACCCATACTTGTCTATTCCAACCAACCAGACGAGTATATGGGCCCAAACTCATCTCGTCTAGCTGACTAGATGAGTATATTGGGCCCGTACTAGTTTGGTCAACTGACCAGACAAGTATATTGGGCCATACTCATCTAGTCCAGTGGACCAGACAAGTATATGAGTCCATTCTTGTCTGTTATAGCTCAACAGATGAGTATGGGGCACTTTTTTCTTTTGTTTTCATTTTTAGATGAAAATAGGGGATAGAAATAGACTTTTTTGTAGTAGTGTCACTTTGTTTACACTTGTTACTTCAACCTGGAGTTTCTACTTCAACTAGGGAGGACTTGTCATGTCAACTTGTCGATGGTAGCGTATAAGAGTATAGTAGTATGTCCTAACAATGGCTATGTGATATTAAAAATCAGCTCGGATTGACCAGTCATCATCAAGCAAATGAATTTTTAAACTTCTTTTTGTTAGTTCAATCAAAACTTTTGGATGGGTTAATGAGGTCGGATTTAAATTTGTTTGTTCTCCCCTTGCCTAAATTTTTAGTTTAAAAAAATAGCAGTTCGTCATATTTATGCTTTAGTTCTCTATTTTAGTTTGTTTGATTATATGTTGTTTATATATTAATCTTCTATTTATGCTTTAGTTCTATGGATCGATTCATTTTTTTATTTAAACATTACTGTTTTTAGGGTTTTATATAAATATTTTTTAATATTTAAATTATGACTGAATTAACCC